ACAGAAGGCCTCATCCCTGAAACATTTTTGTATATTCATCTCTCATCTCGTACCCATCCTGTGTATCCGTGTATGTAAGCTATGTTCGCGCTAAAAATCTAAAATCTAAAGGTGGGAGGATAACCATAACTCCATTGACTCACCTCTACAAGTTAACATTTGTCACAGTTCCTTGCATATTAAATAAGTCGTGCTGATTAGACATGCTCGAAGTGTAAATGGTATTTTTGACAGAATAATTGAACACAAGTACGCATGCGTTAAGGGTGTCTGGTTCGATATTTCGATACGCCCACGAAATCAATTGACCGTGAAGATCTGGGAGAAAGTCGTTTACCAACAGGCTACTGAAAAGCGCTTTTAGTTATTCACCATACGGGATAGCTGCATACCCACAAATATGTCGTAGAAAGAACATACCATCCTACGACTAACAAACAACTCGTGGTTGAAAGCCGGTTAAGACAACAGGACAACAGGCAAAAGAATGGAGTCTTTTATTAAGATTAAAGAATCATATTACGACATTCATAACATTAACCAGGACTCCATTCACGAGCGATGACACATTGATCTCTATAGTTTGAAAGGTAATGGAGTCGCATTACAACACTAACCAGGACACCAATAACTAGCGATGATAAGTTGATCTCCTACAGTTTGACATGCTGTCACACATTCCCAACAGACCCGGGGAAATAACGCTGCGGGAGATGATACTTGCAGTAAAAGCCATATCCGTCCTCTCGTGACATTAAACATAATCCAAAAAAATCATGTGTCAATTCACGAGTTTGCTCACGGAGCACTTTGATTTAGCTCTAGTTATCCAGACTTCCGTCTGCTCTTCCAATTGCCCTTGGACAATCACATTAGGTGATGTTTGGACTTTAAACCCTTCAGTCGAGGTATCAGAATAACAATGTAGCTGATTAAGTATCTTTCTAGCAATTAGAAAAGTATTTAGCTTTTAAAAAGAATTAACACCCGCGTTAAGCATAACTCTGGAAAGTTCAACATCACAAAACTCCTGGCGGCGGCTTATTCATATTTGTTAATCTTAAGTGATTACAAGAAATTATAAACTGAGATAATTTTATTCCCATGACCCAGTTTATAATCCCTCGGTGACGATTAATGTCAAATTATCTAGCAGAGGAAATGATGTATCAGCACAACAGTCAACAAGAGAACTTTCCTGTGACTTTTAATACGAAATATTCCACAACAAGTGTGACTGTCGTTGGTATTCAAGATTTCCCAACATCAACGCAATGACGATAATCAAATGAGAGAAAACTATTTGTAGCTAATTTTTGCCGCTGACTAAAAAAAGTACGTACAGCTGACTGAGTAAAATTTCTAAGTGACTGTATAAGTCCCCCTAACCAACCAGGTGATATTTCAATAACGCCAAGTTGCGTAGTGATGTTTATTAATGACACAAATTGACTTAGTGATGTTCACAGTTCACCGAACAAGTGTAAACAAGTGACTGAGATATATCTACTTAAGACCACCAAAGGGTTATTGAAAAAAAAAGTATTTAAAGTATTTAGCTGATTAAGTATCTTTAAAGAATGTAGCTGATTAAGTATCTTTCTAGCAATTAGAAAAGTATTTAGCTTTTAAAAAGAATCAACACCCGCGTTAAGCATAACTCTGGAAAGGTCGACATCACAAAACTCCTGGCGGCGGCTTACTCATCTTTGTTAATCTTAAGTGATTACAAGAAATTATAAACTGAGATAACTTTATCCCCATGACCCAGTTTATAATCCCTCGGTAACAATTAAAGTCAAATTATCTAGCAGAGGAAATGACGTGGGAGAACTCAATGACAATAACTACTAGTAATTATTAAATACCAGTAATGTTTATCTTTTTCAATGTAGCACACCATAGGTATTCGATTATCAGCACAACAGTCAACAAGAGAACTTTCTTGTGACTTTTAATACGAAATATTCTTCCGACAATGTGCAACTTCTTGGTTTTGGTCACTGCTTCAATTAGTTTCAAACGCTAATTGATTGTAGGGATCAAGTTGAGATCAATTTTGCTTGTAAGATGTTTCATTCTTCCTGCCGGTAATTCGTAAAAGCCACTGATTTTGATTGACAAATTCTACCCCACCGCAAGAACTCTGGCTTAAGCGCATCGCTCACGGTAAGGTGTATGGTCGATCCAGACAATTCTGGAGACTCTTTCACTAAGTTTTGATGTTTGGCACCCCCAAAAATAGCTTTTGATGCAATGGCCTAAATATGTTATCAATTCCAAACCAGACTATAAATGAGGGTGTATCTTCAGTCTGTCACTGTTACATATTATAACCTTTGGTTGCTTAAAGCAAGAGAGAGCTTCACATTATATAGGATGAATTCCCTTTTCAGAGTTTCTTATTGGCTGTTCGGGGCAATACTGTTGGTGATTCTAATCTCAGCTTCAGCGCGTACATGTAAGTAAGATTTCCTTCTTACACCATTGTGATGACAAGCTAAATTACCACTCGTTCAATTTTCTCTGTATCAATTTCATCAATTACAGGCTGCGTAGGCAAATCATACATGTGCGAGGTTGCGCACTAACACTAAGGCTAAATCAAAATTTGCTCAAAGACAGTCGTCACAGAGAGGCATAGGATGTGGTCGACGAAAGTCAGATTCCTTTCTCATCTACGATCCTCGGCGTTTTTATTTCCATTCTGCTCATTTACGTGCAACTTTGTTGACGAAACTTTCGTATTTTTCTTCAACAGTTAAAAATTGTGCTGAGCTGCACAGATCTGGTCAGAGAATCAGTGGTATTTATACAATCAAAACTGACAACTCAGAAGCCTTTGATGTATATTGTGATCAGACAACAGACGGTGGAGGCTGGACGGTGTTCCAGAGAAGGCTAAATGGTTCCGTCGATTTCAACCGCAGTTTGTCTCACTACAAACATGGTTTTGGAAGTTTCCTCGCTGGTGAATTTTGGCTTGGACTGGATAAGGTCCACCGGCTGACTCAAGAAAAGAAAAACAACATGCTTAGAGTGGATCTCGGGGATGATTCTAAAAACATCGTTTACGCTGAATATCAATGGTTTGGAATTGCGAACGAAGCGGATAAGTACCAGCTGAACATTGGCAATTTGGCAAGTAAGTCAATAAATACAGTAAATGGTTTGAACCCGGGGGTAACATGTACTAGTGTAGTTTGATCGTCCGGGTCACTGTAGTCCTGAGAAGGACTATTGTCGGTAGTGGTGACTGACGTTTCGACAACCTGAGCGGAAGTCATCATCAGAGTCAAGTGAAAGGTTGTTGTCAGTCGAATATACTTACACAAACACACAAACACACAAACCGGACTAAGTACATTCGACTGACAACAACCTTTCACTTGACTCTGATGATGACTTCCGCTCAGGTTGTCGAAACGTCAGTCACCACTACCGACAACAGTCCTTCTCAGGACTACACTCACCCGGACGATCAAACCACACTATTATAAGTCAATAAAAGCAATATTTAATGACAGGTAGCTTCGTTGCGTCACAATTAATAAAACAGTGAAGCAAAAGCATACAATTTTCTGGAGGAAAAGAAAAATAAAATGATTGTAGCACCTTTCAGTTTTCCCGGTCTTGAAATCAAAGCCAGAGGATAGAGAAGATGAATTTGGTCCATCGAGTATCAACAAAACGACTACGAGAGCTCAGTTATAGCCATCGCTATTATCGAACTTAGCTTCATATGAACTTTTTAACAATACATCACCTCGATAATTTTTTCTTGTAAACGTTTTCATCTAGACTAAGTACTTTGTGAGCATATTACCGCATGGATATGTGCTGTTACATTAATGAATAGATTTCGTGTAGTATGTCCTTTAACGAGTCCCTGACTCAGCAAAGAGTCTGAAAATCTGGTCTCTGATGCAAGTATTAAAGCTCAATGTAGCAGTACTCAGATTCACGTTTTTCTTTTCCTTCCCTACTCATCTTCTCGAGATTAAAAAAATCTTTTTTTCCCATTCTATTTTCATCGTGACAAAAATTGAGCTGAAGTTTCAAAGAATTTATGAGTGGATATTAATTTTTTAACAGAAGCGACTGTCCATGATTCTCTCAGTGCTCATAATGGCTCAAATTTTAGCACTTGGAATCAAAAGCATTACAACTGTCCCGGAAAAGTAACAGAAAGCTGGTGGTTCCCGAAAGGCTGTAAAATTGAATCAAATCTAAACGGAATTTATGGATGGAAAGAAGACGCAATTTATGGAGGCAAAGAAGGCGCAAAGATTCATTGGGGAAAATTTGATCTTACAGATCCTAATCGCGCTCCCATAACATCAGAGATGAAAATCAGACCTGCACACTTCAAACGGCGATAAGAGAGGCGGACGAAACGAGGAACAAAGGTGGCATGCAACTTTAGAATATAAGTCGACTTACATACTCGTAAATAATGTTCCTGGCGTAAATGATGTTCACGGCACCAGAAGAAGAAGGTGATTCGGAGTAAGGGTGGGGGTGGGGAAGCGCTGAAAACAAGAGTAATGAGTTATGAGAGCGATCCAACAATTTCCTCTTTATTTGACTATTGTTAATGAAATCTCAAGGATCTTAAGTAAATTGTGTGAACCCAAGAGTAACATTTGATCTTGTAATCTGGTCGTCAGGGTTGGAGTAGTCCTGAGAAGGACTGTCACCATCATTAGAGTCTCGTGTGTATTCGTAAACTGATATTCAGTTTACAAATCGTGTAAGGTAGGGTTTATGTTTTCCGACTGTTCCATCTCCAAGATAGGGTAAAAATAACATTTGTCTCCATCACAAAATCACTATATCTTTAAAATCAAAGAAGATCCAAGAAGCATTTGGGAAATAGTTTAATTTGACACCAAATTCTTATACCCTAAATGATAAGAAATGTATGGTAGATGGTGCAGAGAATTGATATCTAAATCTTGTGGGTTAGAGGGTTGGCCGAGGCGAAAGATGCTACAAGCGAACTCCGAAAGTAGGATGCTCCTCCCTTTAGATTTGTCCAATTTTAACTAGTCACGTGGGTAGTCTTATTATTACATCATGTCTGTTAAAAAATAACCCACTATGAAAGGGTCTGAAGCGTTAAAAAAGAAATTGTGGCCGTTAGGCGTAAAAATTGAAAAATTTTGATTGCTAGTCGTAAAAAAGTTAATCCTAAAATTTTTTTTCTTGATGGATACGGAAAGAATTTAACCGTTAGCTGCAAAATGGCCAAAATTTTAACCGTTAGTTAGCTGTAAAAGCCATCACCCCATTAAGACCCTTATGAGCTATTTTTGATCATCAGTTCAAGTCAAAGTATTGAAATTCAACTATTGTTGGAAGAAAGGTTAGTTTTTAAAACTTTTGCTTAACTTCGTAAGGAAACTGATATCCAAGTTCTACCTTGTACACAGTATTTTCTAAGTTCTTTTCTCTCTGTGTGATGAACCGTCCGGAAATAGGATCACAACAGTAATGGCTGCTTCAGTATTAGATCGAAGATTCATTTTAGTCGCATGGAAAAATTAGTTCATAAATGAACTTAAATAATAAAAAAAAAGTCATATGTCAGGCTGGTTTTCTTTGAGTGTTGATTGGGATGAATGAGACCAACAGGCCCATTTATACTGAAATAATTTTCCTGATTAGCAAATTTTTATGTTTCACGAGTACAATTTTTGCAGTTTTCCTCCAGGTAGCAGAATATTAAACAAAAACTACACTGGAAAACATTTTCATCTTGTATTCTTCTTCAGTTACAGCAAAACCATGAATATTTCCTAAAATTTTACTAAATATTAATTCAAACGTTCACATCTAAAAGCTGAAAAGGACTGGTAACAGGTTTAAAACCCGACAAAACCTAACCCTACCCCCTCCCTTCACCAACTCCCGCGAGAAGGTTCGGCACGTGTTGCACAAACTAAAAAAGCATTTTTCTTCCCTGTGATTAATTATAAAAAGTACAAGAAGCAAGAAAAAAAGCCCACAATAGTCATTTTTCATCTGGTTTTCCCTTAGATCCGCGACAACACAACAACACTTACTCACGTATCACTACTCTCCCACGTTTCTTTTGCACCCTGAAAGTGAGGTTGTTTCTAATATGGCAGCTTGACGTAACTGGGTCGTTGTGTCTTTCTCCAACAATCGTTCAGATGGAGAGTTCACCTCGTTTTATCAACAAATTGCAGCCAGTAAAGTTCGGAAAGAAAGTGACATGAGTACTCTTCAGCCCGATGAAGGCGACGTAAGTGAAAGAGAGCTTCTTGTGGATGACATCCAGCGCATTCGCGAAGCCCTCCGTGTTACAGCTGATGCAGTCAACAAGTTGTCTTCTGAAGATGAAGAAGACGATGAAGAGTTCGAAGAAGAGGAAGAAGAAGAAAATGAACAACCTTGCGCTGAAAACGCAAGCCTGAAACGTATGTTTCATTTGTTGTTTTGGTAAAATTTCTAGGCTGGACAAAATAACTGCCACGCACAACAGACGATAAATTTATTGTAGTAAACATTCTGGAACTCCCCATTCTCAATTGAATCTAGATTCACCCTTACGTCAAGAAGTATCATGGCTATCTCACTTGAGTGGAGCTAATTGCTGCAAATGCTTCAGTGACGTAGGAACTATTACACAATACAGCACCACCGAGGTCCACCTTGTCAGCATGCTGAGTTATAATGACAGCATGTAGAGTAGCACCAATACTTTTTGAAGTATAGTATAATAGTACCTAAAAAGAAATAGGGGATTAAAAAAGTTGATGTGTCAACAATTTTGTCGCCGATTATAGATTGGTGTGAGTGAATTATGGGTACACACCGTACATAACTTGTTTTTTTCAAATAGTCAATTTCTAGCTAGGTGCTACTGCACAGTAAAGGAAACAAGCAAAATCTATGATATAAAAGTTGTGTTATGTGACATAGTTTGATGCTACTCTGGTTTGCAGATTTAATGAATGTAACCAAAGAAGTTGCAATTCATAGGCCCAACATTTCGACACTCCTGTCTAGTGCCTTCATCAGGGGTGATCTAAACACTGCAACAAGAGGTCCTTTTATATGATCACTAATTAGCAGCCTTTTTTTTTTCTGACGAGGTGTAAATAGGCGTCAGGAAGCAAGCCACCATTGTAATTAGTGATCATATAAAGGACCTCTTGTTGCAGCATTTAGATCACCCCTGATGAAGGCACTAGACAGGAGTGTCGAAACGTTGGGTCTATCAGTTGTAACCTCTTCAGTTACATTCATTAAATCTGCAAACCAGAGTAGCATCAAACTATGTCTGATTGTCCACCTGGTTGCCGTGTGAACTTTAATATATTTTGTGTTATGTGTTTTGAATTTTACCTTTAATTTTCTTATGTGAGCTAAATCACAAGTTTTCCGCTTTGACATATATGTATACCTGTATCCCACAGATCAAACTTCTTTCAAGTTGCCACATCAGACAGAGAATTTTCTCTCTGCTTCAGTGAGTATTTGTAGTTGCCTCTTATTACCATAAACAGGCAAATGTTACTTATGAGAGTACAACAGCCACAGAAGAAAAATTGGGATACCAGAATTAAGATCAACTCTTTTAGGTTGAACCTCAGCAGAGGTCATGCTGTTGTGGTCCTAGAAGAGAAACTTTTATCTTTTTTCTTTGTGGTTTATTGTCAGCAATCCACTCTGGAGCACAAGCAGTATCAGCACTATTACTTATTTTTAGCAAAAATCAGGATAAGTTGTAGAAATCTTGGTAGCCTTTGGCTTCAAGTTTTGGCACTGATTAGGGAACTAGTTGGTCATTAAATCAGAGCACCAGTTGAAAATATAAAAATTTGCCATGTGTTTTGGGAACCAAACAAAATTTTGCAAGTTTTTTTGAAGTTTGATTTTCATGATTAGTACAATATCAAATTGATGTAATTTAACCCATGTTTCTCATAGAAACATGGTTTTACACTCACCAGTGAAGGAGAAGTACTTCAGGAAGAGAATTGTAATGGGCAAGAAGGATTGAATGAAAGGACACCATTTGCCTTAACCTCTGTGGACAATCAAGGACTTATCAATGGGTTGCCATTCCAGGCACAAGGTGACACTGATTCATTGACATCTCAAAACCATAATTTTTCTTCAGAAGAGGTCATCTTGACTGAATTACAACCAGTATGTTTTCAAACCCCTGTTTGTAATCTCAATACCAGTCAAGGAGGACATACTGCTAATAGCTGGCCAGTGGAGTTGAACCAACATCACCATCAGCTACAAGAGGAGCATGGTCCACAGTACAATGATGATGCTGACAAGGAGCTCGACTGTGATTATGGGATGAGCAGTGAAATTCAACAGTGTTTGAGTTTGAACAGAGACTATCAAGTACAGTCTTTTTTTTTTCTTTTTTTTCTTTTTTTAAAGCAAGGTACCTCAAAATTTACCAATCATTCTAGCAAAGTAAACCAAAATCAGTGTAATCCCACTGATTACTATTGACTCTCAGCTGAAAATGCTTGTGCCTGCTTCTCTACCTGTTGTTTATTTCTTGATTAATTTTCACATTTCAGTTGGTAATATTGGATGAACTTGAAAGAATAGAACATGCCCTAAAACGGAACAAACAGAAGCAGGTACTGTTAAATACACTGTAAATGGGGATTCTTTTTTTGTTTTTTGACAATTTTTGATAGCTTTTAACTTAAGTTACCTCACATCTTTTAGGCATCCACTAATAATTTCTTACGATGTTTTTTTATTAATAGTTTTATCTTCACTGGCCTCATGGAGATACAATGATAACATTTTGTACATGGTTTAGTCCTGAGCACATTTTTTTCCCCTTCATGTATACATATCAGGAATTTGAAAAGTGAAATTTTCACAATTAATTGGAAATTGTTGATTGGTCTCATGCAAGCCAATCAAAGCCCTCCATTTAATAGAACAGCCATTTTTAACTCTCTACACCCTAACAATAGAATGCATATTCTTCATAGTGTTCTTTATTCTCTTTCTATTGTTCTGGGTCCAGTTGTAGAAAGATCGGATAACGCTATCCAATGGATAAATCGCTATCCAGCAGATAGGAGATAGCAAAACATATTGCATTATCCACTGGATAGAGTTTTATCCAGTGGATAGTGCCATCTAACCTTCAAACAACCAGAACCTGATATAGAGAATTTCATTGACTAACGAGAGCTTCAGTCTTGAGTTTACTCTGACTTTTAGTTTCCCTTATTCCTACGACCATAACATGTGATTCAGGGGTGGTGCTGGAATGAGAAAGCCAAAGATATGCATGCAAAACTGCTTGAATGAGCATTTAAAAACGTTGCATTTGGGTAGTTGGTGATAACAGTTGAGTAAG